TCTTTTTGGATTAGACTACTTGTCAAAGGTTCATTTCTTTGATCTCATTTTTCAAAAAAAGAAAAAGACCATCCAAAGCAAGTTCATATATCTTTTTCAATCAAATTACATATCAAAGGTTTGTTTCTCCGATCTCGATTTTTAAAAAGAAAAATATAACCCAAAACAATTCGTATATCTTTTTTTGTTGGATCACTCGTCAAAAGTTCATTTCTCCGACCTTGGTTTTCAAAAATAAAAAGATCACTTAAAACGGTTTATATATCTTTTTCAATTGGATCACTTGTCAAAGGTTCATTTCCCTAATCTTGTTTTTTTGTTTTTTTTTTAAAAAAAGATCTTCCAAAGCGATTCACATATCTTTTTTTTATCGAATCACCTATAAAAGGTTCATTTCTCTAATTTTGTTTTTTTAAAAGTGGTTCATATATCTTTTTCGATCGGATCGTCTTTTAAAAGTTCGTTTCTTTGATCTCATTTTTCAAAAAAAAAAAAAAGATCACCCAAGATGGTTCATATATCTTTTTTTATTAGATCACCGTCATATGTTCATTTCTCTAATCTAGTTTTTTTTTAAAAAAAAAGATCACCCAAAGCGATTCGTATATGCTTTTTGATCGAATCACTCGTTAAAAGTTTGTGTCTTCAATCTTAATTCTTTCAAAAAGAAAAAGATCACCTAAAATTATTCATATATTTTTTTTTCAATAAGATCACTCGTTAAAAGTACATTTCTTCGATTTTGTTTGAATATCGCATTTTACTTATCGGGGTAAGCCACCTTACAAAGTGAAACTATTGTATTTTATGTTTCGGGATAAGCCACCCTTCACAATGAGGTCTGTCGCATTTTATTTTTTAAGGATAAGTCACTATACACAATAAGACTATCGTATTTTATTTTTTAGGACAAGCCACCAAGCAAAATATGGCTATCTATTTTATTTTTTAGCGTAAACCACTTGACATAATAAGGCTATCACATTTTATTTTTCAGGATAAACCACCCTATATAATGAGATTGTCGCATTTAACTTTTTAAGGTAAGTTACCGTACATAATGAGACTATCGTATTTTACTTTTTAGGGAAAGCCACCCAAGACAATGAGGCTATCAAATTTTACTTTTCGGGATAAGCCATCATGAACAATGAGGATATCATATTTTACTTCTTAGGGCAAGCTACCCTTCACAATGAGGCTATCGTATTGTACTTCTCAAGGCAAGCCACCTTACTCAATGAGGCTATCGTATTTTACTTTTAGGAGCGATCACTTATGACAATCAAACCATTTTTTCACTCAATTTACTTTTTTCCTTATAAACTCATTAAGCAAACCTATTCGATATTCACATTTTAGCTAGTATTTACACCGTGATCATTGTAAAGAGAGGACAACTCGTCATAAATTAAATTTTGGGTTATATATTTTTCTCCAATATTATTCCTTTTAAATTTATTTATTTATTATTATTATCTTTTTTATTTTTATTTTATCTTATTTTTATTTTCATTTATTTTATTTTTTATTTAATTCCAATGTTTATTGCAAAAAAAAAAAAAAAATACAATACACACACATACAAAATATAAATAAATAAATTATATAATTGAATTAAGGGCACGATTAAATAAAATCAAGACTAAAATTAAAATAATTAAGGATACAATTGGAACAATTAGAAACCCCGGGACTAAAGTAAAAAAAAAAAGATTTTGTCCAATATCATTGATGAAACAATCCAAAAAAATCCAATTAATTAAAACCAATTTAAAGATACATGGGTCCAATTGAAAAAATGAAAGAAATAGGGACCAAAATTACATGCATAAAGGGCATAATTGTGAACAATTGAAACAGGTGAGGACAAAAATTAAGCAAATGACCTGTCATTCATTTCAACCTAGAAATCATCCCCCCACCGGTACTGCTCATCATCTTCTACCGAAGAAGACATATTCGATCAATGCCAAAAATTCATGGTTGGCATTTGTGGCAGCCAGGAATCGCCCCTCGTACCACTCACCTGCATCACTATGCCACCACTATAATCCATAGCATTGCACACACTATTTTTCAATTTCGAAATTCATTCTATACACAAGAAGCCAAGAAAACCAGAAGCTTGTTCGTTGGCTTTTGCAATTGAGGGTTGCGATCATTTAGGGAACGATCCTAGAGTAGGAATTCGATGAATTTTGGTTACAAATTGAGGTGAATTAGAGGAATTAGGGGAGAGAGGTGAGAAAATGGAGGAAGATTCTGGATTTCTTGAATTTCTGGGTTTACTGATTTTCTGGGTTTTAAAAAAACAAGCAACCCAGCTTCTCAAACATTATTAAGGGTTATAGGGTCGGTCCAGTCCGCAATCATCCACGATAACACACTCCATAGCCCCTAGGTCGCACAATCGTTTGCAAATCCAACCCACTAGTCATCATCATCCATCATCAGCGACAGGGGAAATCAACACAACAACATCCAGTCTTTTGATCCATCCCGGTTCTTCAAGCATCACTTAGGCAACCTTTATTCATGATATTCAATTAGTTCTCATTCCATTTTCCAAATGAGTTAAGGAAAATGGTTGTGGCATTGTCACTACCATTGATGAGCCCTGTTGCTCAAATCCTTCAATCTATCCAGATAGTGTAACAGAGAGAATTCTATTTCGACAGTTAGCTTAGGTGTTGCTCGGGTGTCATTGAGAGAACTTCATTCAAGGAAGAAAGAAATTTTAGGGGAAAGAAATTTTAGGAGAAATCGATAACTGGACATTCTGTCCAACAAGAACAAGGAGGAGGGAGGTTCGGTTTCAGTTTAAATAAGTTGGGTTTTAATGTTTAAGGGGGCTGGGCAATTGAAGAAGGAAAGGAAGGGGGAGAGAGAGAGAGAGAGAGAGAGGGAGAGGAAAATGGGCTGGGTCTAGCCCAACAAAGAAAAAGAAAAGGCTGTCCAATGGGTCCAATAATCCTAATTTTAGCCATTTTCTAGATAAATCAGTTTTGAATTTTTAATACATGTCGTTTGTTTTATGCCTATTTTCAGATTTGATATTTTCATTTAGTTAATGATTTTTTTTTAACCTTTTTTCAATAATTAAATTAGATAACAAATAAGTGGACGCGTCATCGAATTTTTTAATTTTTAAGGATCGATGACGACTCGCACCAACAAAAATAAAAAAATAAGAAGAAGAAGAAAAATGAATGATAAAAAAAGGACATAAAAATAGGAAAAAGAACAAAAGAAAATGCTAGGTGAAATTAAAAAAGCCTATTGTCTATTAGGAACCGATGTTAAATTAAATCAATCATATTTTTAGTAATTAAGTTATTTTTCGACATACCGATTATATTGAGATTTGAACTAAATTCGATGTTGAATTGATAAGACTCTTGACGACGGGATCTAACAATCGATTCAATATGATACCACAAATAAAAATAAAAAAACTGAATTGACTTAGGAGATAAAACTTGAAATTTTGACTTGGGATTAATTTTAGCAATAATAGAATTTTTAGGAGATAAACTTTATGACTAAACTAGACATGATACCTTTTCTAGAAAACGATATCTTTAAGTAATTGATATCTTTCGAAAAGTATAACCAATTCTTTACCTTAAAACTTCGAATTAGTGTCCATTATAGATTTCTAATTATTTTTAATACTAAATGACGATTTCGAAATTAATAATAGTTTATATTCTCGGACAAACAAAAATTTTCAACAAATAAACAATAAATTTTTGGAAGTCCCGAAAATGTGAAGTAGCAACAAATCTAAAAATAAAAATCAAAGTTGATAATATTTTCAAATGTTTAAGAAAAATTAACATGCGTGCAACACAAACAAAATGTCAAATAAATAAATAAATAAATTAAAGGCCAATTTCTAAGGTTCTGAAATCGTTGCTTAGATAGAAATAAATTAAAAATGCTAACAATTTCGCATAAAACTTACCCATATTTTATGTTGTCATCTATAATTGTTAAGTCATGAATATATACATATTGCATAATTTTTAGAGACATACGTAATGCATAATTAGGATTAAAGGAAAGAAAAGAGCTGTTAAAAAAAAAAAAAACAAGAAGCAAATTATAATTTAGTTTCTTTTTTTTTTATGATTTTGTAAGTTAATCCTTTTATTTTTAAAATTCATAAGTTACTTTCTTGACCAAAGTTGATTGCTAATTTAAAAAGAAAAATTCTAAATTATCCTTTTTAAAATGAACTTTTAATTTTATTTTATGTGTGGTAGATAATATTAAAAAAAAAATTGATTGCAAATGAAGGATATTTTAGGAAAAAAAACCAATTTAATTATGGTAAACAAAACAATAAAATTTTAATTTTATCTTTATTTTGGTCCTGAACAAAATGGGTGGAATATACTCGAAAATCTCAACCGTTATTTGATCGAAATATTCGAACAGGTCGAGATTCCAAGCAAAATGAATTTTTTAATTGATGGTTTTGATTATAAAATAATTAAAAAAAAAAAAATCAACTCTCTTCAAAATGAATGTAGGATCGGTTGAGGGGATATGATCCAGTTGTATAAATCAGTTCATTTGACGGTTTTGATTAATACTCATATCGGTTGATATTCTTGACTTTTTTAATTTTTTTGAAATTATAATTAAATCTATAGTCATCAAATCTAATTCGATTGTTTTTTTTTTTTTTTCCTTTGAAAGTTTAGTTTGCTCGAATCCTTGCAAATTTTACTGTTTTGAAATGGGTTGGACAATGGAGTCAAAACTTAAAACCCATTTATCAGCAACTCAATGGCCCATCAATGGAGGCCTGACCTCAATGATTGTGGGCTGTTTCTCTCCCTCTACAGTCTGTAATCATTTACGACTGCAAGCCCGAAGTCCCTTCAACCTCAAAGAAATTCAGGGTTTTAGCTTTTAGGCCTACCTCTGTTTTCTTAAACCCTTGTTCTTTCATTTCTGCTACAACTTTTGAGTCTCACAAAGCAACCATGAATCGAGCAGGTACAATCTTCAAATTTCTTAGACTCTCCAGCTCGGTCCTCTCAACTCGGCTTTCCACAACGCGGTCACTCTCCACTCAGGTGACTCACTTTTCTCCCTTCTCCTTGCGCTCTCTCTCAAATCAATCTCATAATACCACTACTTATCGGTTCAATACCCATCAAAAACTCTACTTCTCTTCTAAACCACACTCAATTGTAGAGCTTTTATCGACCAATGATTGGTCTGCTGAGTTGGAAAACGAGTTAGAAAGTTTGAGTCCCTCATGGACCCATGAGACAGTCATTTATGTGTTGAAGAAACTAGATAAAGACCCACAAAAGGCATGGGATTTCTTTAATTGGGTCAGTGAGAGAAATGGGTTTAGACCCAGTTCCTTGCTTTATAGTCTAGTGCTTAGAATAGTTATTAGCAAGGATTCAATGAAGAAGTTTTGGATTACTATAAAGAAAATGAAAGAGCAAGGGTTTTATATTGATGAAGAAACTTATTTAACCATTTTGGGGATCTGCAAAAAAGAGAAGATGGCTCCCGATGCGGCGGCTTTGACGCATTTTTATGATAGGATGATTCATGAGAATGCTAAGGATAATTCTGTGAAGGATGCGGTTCGTGTTATTTTGGAGAGACAGTGGAATAAGGACGTTGAGAATAAATTGCTGGGAATGAAAACTGTGTTGACGGATAATTTTGTGATTAGGGTATTGAAAGAGCTTAGGAGTTATCCTGTGAAAGCTTTGAGTTTCTTCAATTGGGTTGGTAGGCATGAAGGTTATCAACATAATTCCGTTACATATAATGCACTTGTGAGGGTTCTTGGTAGGGATGACTCGATTAGGGAGTTTTGGGGTGCTGTTGATGAGATGAAGAAAGCGGGTTATGAGATGGATATCGACACTTATATAAAGATTTCGAGGCAGTTTCAGAAAATCAAGTTGATGGAGGATGCTGTCAGGCTTTATGAATTTATGATGGATGGCCAATTTAAGCCCTCAATTCAAGATTGCTCTGTTCTTCTACGGAGCATCTCGGCAAGTGATAATCCAGATTTGGATTTGGTTTCTAGAGTTGCAGGTAGATATGAGGCAACGGGAAATTCCCTTTCTAAGTCTGTGTATGATGGGATGCATAGGTCCTTCACGAGCGCAGGGAAGTTTGATGAGGCAGAACAGATCGTGCAAGCCATGAGAGATGCAGGGTATGAGCCCGACAACATCACATACAGTCAGTTGGTTTTTGGACTTTGTAAAGCAAAGAGATTGGAAGAAGCATGCAAGGTTTTGGATGAAATGGAAGCAGGAGGATGCATTCCAGATATAATGACTTGGACCATTTTGATTCAAGGACATTTTGCTGCCAATCAAGTTGACGAGGGATTATTGTGTCTTGCCAAGATGACAGAGAAAAACACTACTCCTGATGCTGATTTGCTGCATGTGTTAGTAAAAGGTTTCCTCAGTCAAAAGAGGATAGATGGTGCATACACATTTTTTATGGAGATGGTGAATGAGATTGGGTTGGTACCTTGGCAAGCTACTTGTAAACTTGTAATTGAAAATCTTTTACAAGTAAGAAAGCTCGAAGAAGCAATGGACCTTCTACGCTTAATGAAGAAGCATGACTACCCGCCTTTTCCTGAGCCTTTTGATCAATATATATCCAAGTTTGGAACAGTGGAGGATGCTGTGAATTTCTTTAAGGTACTCAGTATGAAGGAGTACCCATCGTCTTTCGCTTACCTTCGAATTTTGGAATCCTTTTTAAAAGAAGGCAGATATTCTGAAGCCAGAGATCTGTTGTTCAGGTGCCCGCATCATATTCGCAAAGATCCTAAAATCAGCAAGCTTTTTGGTTCTGCGAAGACGGGTGATAATACTGTCTGACTTTTCTTTAGTTCTTCTAGTGGTGATGTAGTATTATAAATGAAATTTGTAAGCTATACGATCATGAAACATCTTTGGAATCTTTTTTGTTTTCACGCTCAAACCCCATTTGTTGGAAGGGAATGTGTGGAGTATTAATTTATTGAAGATCTTTAGTATGAATTAATCGGTTGACACGCATTAAGCACAACGTAATGACAGATATTGTAGTTTTCCCATTTTAATATTTGTTTTGCCAAATATTTTGAAAATGATTATCACTGCCAAACTATCATTTTGCAAGTTATTTTGTGTGATAGAGTCTAGAGTCTAGTTGATGTTACACACTTTTTTGGATATATATATATATATGTATATACCATTTCCCAATTTTGGCATCGGAAGAATGATTATATCTTTCTAAAGGTGTCTACCCTTCCTCTCGATCTGAACTTCCGATACTCAATGACAGGTCGCTTAAATACTTTGTCTTACACAAATAAGACATTAATTTAACCATACACACTGTATACCGCAAAAGGACCTGCATAGCAGACATTAATTCGTTGATTGGGATCAAAACTAGCAGATGATTTTGTCTTCCTCCCACTTACAGGTATACAATCTTATTAGTATTGCAACACTTTCAAAAAGGCATTAAATAGACATGCTAATACTTGTATACTCAACTATTTACTTCATGGGAAGCTGCATTCAATATTACTATTACCATATAATTAAAAAAGATAGTGTTTGAATAGTGAGTTTCATTTTTCACTCTCTACAAAATACTATTCACTTAGTTTTTTTTTTTTTTTAATTTCTATATTATTTCATTTTGGTCCCTAAAATTTTAAAATAAAAATTATAATCCCTTAATTGATGTAGTACACATGCTTTTTTTTTCCATCAATTTATTTTTTTTATTTAACTTGGTGTTAAAATTTTAAAAAATTAATCGTTATTTTTTTCACCAAGACTAACAATTATATAATATATACGATATGTTTTTAGATTTTAGAATAAATATATACTACCTTTATTGTTTAAAATTGATCTTTTCGATTTCTTATAAAAATTCACATCAAGTTAATTTTTATATAATTTTATTTATTAATAAATATGATTTATTTTCTCTATGTATGGATCCGAATAAGTTTTTTTATACATGTTTTATTTGCTTAATTCTTATATAATCAAATTTTAAAAATAGAATATATGTATTTTATTTTTTATTCTTTATATAATCAAATTTTATCAAAATCAATTTTATATTTTTTACTGTTAACTTCAATCTATATTTTATAAATTAATTTTTTTAATATTTTTTAATTTATGCTATACATTTTCACTCATTGAATACAGATCATGATGTATAAAAAATAATAATATTAGAATCATTGATTTTATTAGAAATCAACTATGCATCTACACACACAATCTCAACCATTTGCTATTATTTTTTAATATTTAAAAATTAATTTTTTCAAATAAAATAATTGAAATAATAGTTTAGAATCAACTATGCATCTACACACACAATCTCAACCATTTGCTATTATTTTTTAACATTTGAAAATTAATTTTTTCAAATAAAATAATTGAAATAATAGTTTAGAATAACCGGCTAATGATTCAAATATAATTTTGTATAATAATATTATTCATTATTTTATAAATAAATATATATAAATCAAGTATACATATTTTAAAAAAATAATTTTCTCATCGGTAAAAAAGCTTCATTTGTTAATTTTCATACAAGTTTTTATATTAATTGTTGTTTTATTTCTTCGATGCAATGTTATGAAAAAAAATATGAACATATTTTTTGAAATTTATATTAAAATTTGTTTATTTTGGGTTTTTATGTAAGGAAAAATGCATAAGAAAGAACAAATCATATTTTTTTGACTTAAAAATTTATTCAAAACACACACACACACACACACAAAATTTTGATTAAAAATTATAAAATGAGATAAAATTTTATCTTTTATATTTAATTTAATATATTTTATTAACCGACAACATAGTATATGTTATCAAACCGAAATAAATATATTTAGTTCGGTCCGCAATGTAGCACAAGAATCTAATCTATTATTCATATGTTTAAAATTCATATTCATTTACTCTTTATATGCATAAAATTACTATTTACTTGATGGCAATTTAAGTAATTTTTGTGAGGTGTTTTTTTGTGTGTTTTTGGGCATTAATACGAAAATTTAACATTTTTTTTCTATTTTCATTCCTCATGTTGTAACATTTTTTTTTTCAATCCTCGGTTTTCATTTTACTTTTATTTTCACGCAGACTTATATTCCTCTTATTATTTAAATTTTATTCTTTGAATTTATCAATTTTTATGAAAATTCTCATCTAATTAATATTTTTTATTATAAAATTTTATTTACTAATAAATATAATTTATTTTTCAATGTTTGAATTTTAGAATAAAATTTTAAAACATGATTGTTTTTTCTTTTTCAAAAAATAAATGGGTATAATATATATTATGAATTCTTAGATTTTTTAAATAATAGTTGTATATATATAAATATATAATTATTTTATTCTAAGAGGTTAAAAATGTATTTCAAATAATTTATTTCAGTTCACTAGGTATGGTCAAGACGTTTAAAAAAGCTATTAAATCATTATTTTATTAAAATTAACTATACATCTTCCAACATAATGCAAATTATTTACTATGAATATTTTTTTAACATTATAGAAAAAATTTATTTGAAATAAAATAATTAAAATAATTTTTTAAAGAAACGAACTAGTTATTCAAATAAAGTTTTTTATGCTAATTTTATTGATTATCTTGTATATAAAGATCAAATGCATGTACTTTAAAAAAAAAAAAAAAACATCTTCTCAACAACATTAAATAAAAATAAAATTTTATTTTTTCAATAGTTAGTTTTTATGCAAGTCTATACATTAATTGTAACTTTATTTTTAGATAAATTCTTATAAAAAATATATTTTAAAGTATTTTTTTTAAATTATTAATTAATATTTGAAATTTAAATTATTTCAAGTTTTATTTAAAAATCACTGAATAAAAAAGAATAAATCATTTTTTTAAATAAAAATTCTATGAAAAACACAAAAAAATAGTAATAACTAAATAAAAAATTTGTGAAAAAATTATAAAATTTTGAAATGATTTTGTTTTATTTGCTTATCGTGAATAATTTTAAAAATTAATCTTATCATCAACATTAAATAAGAATTTTTTTTATTTATTATTATTTTTTTTAAGTCGGACCATTAATTATAACTTTATTTTTTTAGAATGTAATATTATGAAAAATAAGTTTTTAAAGTTTTTTGTTTTAATTCTTGATTAATATTTTAGTTGAAAATTATTACAATTTTTTATTTTCAAATCAATACATAAAGAAGAATGTTTTTTTTTTTAAACAAAAAATTTATAAAAAACATTAGAAAAAAATTAATTAAAATAAAAACTTATAATTAAAAATTATTAAATTTTAAAATGATTTTATTCTACCAGATACCAACTAATTATTTCTACAAGAGCTGGCACGGGCTTAAAGAGATTGGCATTTGGCAGGCTAAAAAGAGGTATCCAGCCTTTATATAAATAATTATCTCATGTTATGAGTATCCCTGAAAACGGACAGAAATCTCATTCTGAAGATGCGGAGAAGACATGAGTTGAGTTGCATCAAAATACAAGGCAAATCTTTTACGTTTAGTGTTTCAAACATATTTTGGATTGGAGTAAAAGCCAATAATTAGGATTCAGGTAGCTCAGAGCGCTCCCTCCTTGCTGTGTTTATCATCGCACACAAGAATTCCCTAGCATCACAACTGTTTGGATTTGATGTAACTGCATGCGCCAAAAATGGAAGTTTTCTTAACGATCTTCCACTCATCCCCTGCATAAGATGATAAGAAGCCATGCAGCTGATTACTACTAGATCATTAACAGGATTCCGTTGGGATTGAAAGATTTTACTGCTCACCTTACATGCTTCTGCAGCTTCAAGCAATTGCTTGCAAAAGTGCAGCAGCAGCACATGCTGAGCTTCGGCTGGTGCATTTAATTTATCTCTCAAAGTTGAATAATTTGGAAGCATGAGATGGTCCGAGTCCTACAGAAATTGCAACATTCATTAGTAATGAGATTAATTTGACCATGCCATGTCCACATAGCATCAGTAGAGTTAAGATATATTGAGGAAGCAATAGGAAGCCTGAAAATTGAAACAAAATCAACACCTGGAAATTTGATATTATTCCTGTTCGCAGGAGCTCTTGCAAGCAGGATCTTAGAATTTCATAACGAGCTTGTAGAGTTGGAGGACCAACATATGCTTTGATGTCAGCTCGATCAACAAATGCAATATCTGCAACACAGTATCTACTAAATCAATACATTATACCAATATATACGATATTCTTCCTGCTCAGTCCAAAATCTAAACCTATCAGAAAAGAAGCATGCATGCTTTTGAACTTCGTCGAATTATATTGGAGGAAATCTGATCTCTATGGACAAGGTAGAATATGGAATTCAAGCTAGCATCAAAGTCTAAGAAAACTGCTTGGTATTGAGACAGATCATTTGCTCACCAATAGCAGCAGTTATATTTGATGTAGTCAGGATGATAACATTTGGTGATGTTTTCAGTTTGTCCATCTGCGTTAGTAGAGCATTCACAACCTATGGAACATTATTCAACAAGCAGAAGGCGTAAAAATCTCACAAAAAATCAGGTTACTCATTTATTTACATGACTTGCTTTAAGAAATCAGACATTAGTTTGGGAGTAAACAAAAGTGGCAGTACTCGAATAGAATCTGAAGGTTCAGAACCAGATAAAGCAGCTTTTCTAGCAGCGGCAAGACTTTCAACTTCATCTGCAGCATTACCAAATCCACAGTATTACACGCTAGACTGAACAGAGCTCAGTATTGGATATTAAAAAACACAATGTTGTCACAAATCTCACCAATCAAAACAAATACCAGATTGTTTTCTTCCTCTGTCATTTCCTGTATTTTTTGGAAAAGCTTTGCAACCTATTCCAATAAACAAATGTTGATATTTTAAGGTTTCGCCTAAATTGAACAGTCAAACAATGTAGACAAATAACTAAATAAATATCAGTAGGTTGAGAACTTGACATGAGTTGAGGTGTCATATTGGATAGGAAATGATATTGAGTCTACAAATTCCATACCATTTGATTTTGCACAAGATAATAAGAGAAATACATCAGGTGATTTCAAGTAAAACTCTAGAAATAGGTAACTCCCATTGCATTGGAAAGGAAAACCATTAGATAAATATCAGCGGTTTGAGAACTTGACATGAGTTGAGGTGTCATATTGGAAAGGAAATGATATTGACTCTACAAATTCTATACCATTTGATTTTGACCAAGGTAATAAGAGAAATGCATCAAGGTGATTTCAAGTAAAACTCTAGAAAAATGCAACTTCCATTGCATTGGAAATGAAAACCATTACAAATAATTATGGCCTGTTTTCTGTTTCCTCTTAAAGCAGCATAACAAAAAGAACTTTGCCATGATATTCTTTTGTGTGTTTTTGTTGGGGGAGGGCAGGAGATCCAATAGATATATAGCAATTTTAACTTCCTTATGGGCGCATAGATGTACCGAGGAACATAGCTTAGGTTGACTTCAAAGATGGACAAACGATCAAATCTCAATCAAACCAATTTGACTTACTGAAAACAGAGTTATACCACCAAACTTCCAAATGAATATGATAACGTAGTGCCATAGGTAGGAACTTCTTAAAGCTTATACAGCTTGACCACATACCAGCTTGCCACTTTCAGAGAACCATTTGCTAAACAATGAATGAGCATTAACTTCAATCAATTGGCATTGGGCGTATCTGATTAAAAAGGAATCATAAAGCTGAAATCAATATGAGATGAACTTGTAATAATTTATGTTCATCAGACAAGGTTATGTATAAACCTGTAGTTAAATCGTATTGAGAGTTTCTGAGCCAATGCTTTACATAAAGACGTCTTCCCAGTCCCTGGAGGCCCATGTAAGAGAATAAGGCTGCAAATATGATGGATATATCATTCAAGCACCATTTTAAAGCATAACACATTAGAAGCAGCAGCTTTCCAAAATCTGGTTTAGATAAATTCTAAATGCATTTGTGGTTTTAAGTTTTCATCTCATCCCAAATTCTTGCATTAGCAACAAAGCCAGGGCGCTGAAAGGAGAATGTTAAGGGCAAAAAGATTTCAAGACTCTTTCTACAGCCTCAAACTAGAGCTTTCATTGGCAAGAAAAATAATCTGAATGACCTGCAGATACAGATCATGTTAAACAAATCTTCCTTACCGATTCCATGAGACAAGAAAAGGATCAACACGCTTTTCAGTAAAGAGCAATGCACTGGCTGCGTATCGCAGCAGCCTTTGCTTCAGCCCAGGTTCATAAATTAAGCTACAAAAATCAGAATTGCCATACCATCAGTCCCTACATCAACTGACTTGAAGAATTAGAAACAACAGAAGTTTAAGACAAACCTTTCCCACATGCCATCAAATTCCTTAGCTGGAAGAATCCACTCATTAAAGCTAGAAAGTTGGCCATCCTCACTTAGCTCCTCACATGGTCCTTCCTCACTAAGCTGACAAAGCAGCAGTCATTTGAATTTTGAAACCACCAACTCAACAAAGTATCACTTGAAAGTCAAAGAAACAACAGAGGCTCATGACACAAGAAAAAAGAAACATTTAGACATTGGATCAACTACTATTGTTTACCAACTTTAACAGCTTTGACTGTTTAACCTTCCATTTTTTTTCTTACCCAGAACAAAATGTAAAGTGTCTCAAACAACCAATAAAGAAACAGACATTTCTATACTTGGAATATGCATATAGAATCAAAGATAATGAACAAGGCACAAAGAAAACAGAAAGAAGAAAACCCAATAAGCCTATGTAATCCATAGTACCTGGAAGACATGTACAACAGGTTTGACTTGCCAGAACAGAAGAATATCATGATTATTCACCCATTCATCTACAATATAAACAATCAAACCATTAATTGCCATTAATTGACAAAAGATATCACTTTCTTCCCTTTATGAACACCATTCGGCTACAAAACAGCATTAATTTACAAAAAACCTTTCATTTTCTTTTCCCCTAGACCAGAAACTAAAGTAACAAAAACAGAAAGTCGAACATGTAAGAAATAAAAACACATACCCGTATCACAAACACAAATTCTTTGTACATTTTCGACGAGAATTTGGTCATCAATTGGCACGGGAATCGGACCATCAATATAGCTTAAATTTCTCTTTTCAAACATTCTATCAAATAAAGAGGAAAAAAAAACAAGAAATTATCCTGGCTTGTACGATTAACAAACAAAATCCCACAAATAAAAAAACCTCCCAAAAAACAAAAGAAACTGAAATCGAACCTTTCAACAGCCAACCGAACGTCTTCATTGCGAGCTGTGCTCGAGGGTTTTAAGCAAACTTCAACTGCATATATATATATATAAAAAAAAAAAGAAATAAAAAAGATACTTCAAACTAAGTAAGAGGTTCAGAACAAAAGAGTAAAAGAAAATTATAAGGTGGAGAGCTTGAAAATGGAAAACAAGAGGTGGGTACCAGAAACGAGGAATTTGTGATGGGGAAAGATGGGGGAAGCGGACGAAGAGGTCAAAGCAACGCCGTTTCCATCATACACATCATGGTTTGTGGTGGTTTCAATGGGGTTTTGCATCGATATGTCCATGGGATTTGTTGTCATCCCTTACAGTGCAGTGGAGGAGAGTTTAGGTTTTTGATTTTGGTGTGCCAAACCCTAACCTTTATTTTGCTTCGCTTTTTTGAAGTTGGGCGGGAAAAAATGATTTTTTTGCTTGTGCTGTGTGGTTTTTGTTCCCTTTCCCTCTCGTCTTGTAGTTCATCCCCACTAGAGAGGGCGCCTATCCTGCCCTTACCCATCGGACAGAAGTTTCATAATTTTATCTGATTTTTTTTATTATCTACTCCACATCATTCAATTCCTTTAGCTTTTTATCCTATTTAATTGGAATAAAAAAAAAAGATTAGATGAAAATTTTACTCGTATTAGATTTGGTATTCTTTTTTTTTGTTTTTGTTTTTTGGGGTTAATATATATAATATAAATGTTATAAAACACATCTCATTGTTCAATTTTTACTTTTTAATTAAATTTTACATATAAATAAAAAATCCTATAATATGTGAAAATAAAAATTAATTAATGAGCTATTGCTAATATTATACTTGTATTTTTAATTTATAAAACATAATCCAATCTGAATTTTGTCCATTTTAATTTAGTCTTTTGTAAAAAAAAAATATTAGGATTTTCTTTCATGCCAAATACCAAGATATGCCTAGAGTAGATAGTCATTTTCTTTTTATACTTAGAGTAGATATTTTTATTTTTATTTGTCATACTTCTTGTCTAGTTTAGATTAATTTTTACTTTCAATACAATTTTTTATCACGATAATTTGTTTTGTATTTTTTAATAGTGTGTCATTTGATATTTTTTCTCCTATGAAATTGACTCGTAAAATATTATCATAACATATTTTCATACATATGTACTAATTAAAATTTATTTACATTGAAGTATGATTTTAACTATAATCAACATGTTTTTTTTAAAAAAAAATAAATAACAAATTGGATGGATTTTTGAATACGATCCAAATCCATGAGGATTTTAATTTTAATTAATAATTGAAAAACTCAATGTGATTTTTTTGTCAAGCAAATCGGATTTGGATTTACTATTATCTAATTCATCCAAACATATGATTCAATCCAAAGCCATTGCTTTTACTCAAAGACACTAGACATTGTATAAAATTACCTTCAGATTGGTGTCATGAGTACTCACCCACGTCACATTATTTAGTTAACGGGTTTTGCTCATTATACGGTCTTTGTATTTTTTTAATTGTTTTGATTGAGGCCAATTTTTTTTTATTGGGTCTTTCTACTGCTCATTTTGTTTTGTTTCCATCTATCTGTTATAACACCATTAGTTTAGCTGACTTGGTACTTCTGAGTGCTTAATATGTGTTATACACGAAATTTCAATAGTGAGACTATTTAAGACAATTTAAATAGTACATGGACTCCATCAACACAATTCAAAGAATATATGAACTAAGTTATTTTTTTTTAATTTCTATGTTATTATTTTTTTTTAATCCTCATCCCGAATATACGAAATGTATCATATATGAGACTCAATCCCAATAAAACTACAAAGTGTTTTTTTTTTTTAAAAAAAAAACTGTTATAATAAGTTAAAAGTAATAAAATATAACATAAAAAAAAAAAAAAAAACCAAGCATGCAATTATTAAAACAAAAAATGGTGATGTACAATATCGATTAACTAAAAACTCTTAGTTATTGGGTCTAATTCTCCAAAAAAATAAAATAATTTTGAATATTTGACAGTGAAAAAAGGATTTAAAAAAAAACCCCTACACTATTTTTTTTCTTTAGTATAGATAATTAGCTATCAATTAGCATTATTGTTGTTGTTTTTTTTTTTTTTTTGACGAACATATTTGTACAATATATTTTTTTAATTGCAAATTAGACTCATTTTATATATACTTTATCATTTTTAAATTATTATAACATTTTTTTTAAAAAATACTCTTCATAATTTTATTGTGATAAAGCCTCACTTATGACATGTTTCATGATATTCAATATGAGGTCTTAAAAAAACAATAACATGAACATTAAAAAAGAAAAAAAAATTAGTCCATACACTCTTTGAGTTGTGGCGATTAAGTCACTATACTCTTCAAATTGTTTTGATTGAGTTCCTCTATTAGGATTTCACATATAATAAGTATCATATATTTAGGGGTGGATAAGTTCACGAACTAACAACATTATGACACAAGGATGGAAACAAAACAAAATTGAGAATAAAAAGACTCAATTAATACAAAAAAAAAAAAGAGTACAAAATCTCAATCAAAACAATTTGAAAAATATAAGGACTATATATTAGTAAAACCCTTTAGTTAACTAAGGGGTCGTTTGTAACTCCCCCGACCTAGGACCTAAATAGGTTGAGGATATTACTTGTCGTGCCTCACAATGAATGTAAGACACTAAGCATTATGTCCTTCTTATTGTATTATTTATTATGGTTTTCGTGAAAGCCCATTAAATAGTTATAGGTCCAGCTTTATTTACAAAATTCAGTCCAAAATGTACTATTAAATTTTTCTATTTTTAATATTTTACTTTAATAGTTTAGATTAAAATAACTTGATACATGTCTTTTATTTTTGTTAAATTTTTTTCTAGAAGAAAAAATAAATCTATTACGAACGAGTAGTATGTAAGTACTAAACTAAACAAAACTATAATCATACATTATCATTTTATTACAGGATTAGCATGTCCAAAATTGGTTGTCATGGTACAACCTACTTTCTTTTTTATGATAACTAACTTAATACCGCACTATTTACCAAAAGTGGCCTTATGTATTTACAAGTCTATTATTCCTTTTTATGCTAAAGAGCTAAACCTATTTACCTAGTCATTACTTTTATCATCATACAAGACAAAGTGGTCATACCAAGTACATATAATAGAATTCCGAAGATTAACAACATGACCACATGTACTAGGTTCAATTTACATTCACAAGTAAGATACACCTTATAGACAAACGGGAGGGTCCCTTCGGTAACTAGCGCTAGCATAAACATGACAATTATTCTTTATTCTTCACCCCTACATTACAAGAACTAGGTGAGCTATTACTCAATAAATTAGTTATGCATGTTATGCATTCATGCGGTGAATGCACTTTAAAATCCTTTTTATGTCTTTTTTGAAATCCCTTTCCTTTTTCGAATGTGTCTTGTCGAATGTATGTTATATATATGAGTGTATATATTTAGCCCTCTTTTCCTTTACCATTTTCTTTTGTCGAGAATTTTACCAATTTCCTCAAAGAAGAAATATCATAGATAATTAAACCCCTAATAACCTTTTTCCTTTATCATTTTCTTCTATCGAGGCCTTTACCAATTCCTTCTACGAAGAAGTATCGGGGATAATTAAACCCCGATAACCTTTTTCCTTTTCATTTGTAAAATCATGAAAAACCTTTTCACGATTCTAACATGCATATGCATTGAAATGTCAATGCATTTACATGTGATGCATGCATGCGAGTGAATGCACTTTAAAATCTTTTTTATGTCCTTTTTGAAATCCTTTTCCTTTTTCGGATGTGCTTTGTCGAATGTATGCTATACACATGAGTGTAAATATTTAGCCCTTTTTTCCTTTACCATTTTCTTTTGTCGAGGCTTTTACCAATTTCCTCGACGAAGAAATATCATAGATAATTAAACCCACGATAACCTTTTTCCTTTATCATTTTCTTCTATCGAGGTCTTTACCAATTCTTCCAACGAACAAATATCGGGGATAATTAAACCCCAGATAACCTTTTTCCTTTTCTCGTATAAAATCATGAAGAAAAACCTTTTCATGATTCTAGCATGCATATCTATATTCTTATGAATGAATATAATGTATGTCATAAATAAATGTGCATTTATGCAATAAAATTGCATGCCTCAACATAGTAAAATGCACATAATATTTCATTACCTTTCACCTTTTAATCTATTACATGTCATTTAAGGTACACAATTCAATAAAAAAATATTTATCGTAGTGTACTACACAACATCACATTTCACATATTCATGCAATAAAAGTATAAATATATTCACACTTTGACAACAACCTTCAAGCAATAAGTTATTGTACCAAATAATTCACTTATTTCACATTTTTCATAAACATAGGAAACCATGCAATAAACACATAATTGCACATATTAAACACATGAAATACATTTAATCAACCATATAATCACTAATTTAAATAATGGCATGGGTAATTAAATTTTTCTTCTAAAATTTCATGTATGACCGAAAGTTTGCTTGGCTTAAACGAAGTGAATATTTCATTTTAATTACTAATTCACATGCTAACCCATTAAATCATGCTAACTTCATCATTTAAATAATCTAACAACAATGTTAAATGAATTAAACTCGTAACCCTAATTTTTTTTCTATTTGAGCCGAATATACACCTAGGTTAAGCTTGGTGAATTTTTCAATTTTAATGTTAATTCACGTGCTAAATCATCTAAATATACTTTTATAACATGAATTCTATCAATTAAACATCCATAAATCAAATGTACCATAAACCCTAAAATTTCTCCATTTGGCTGAAACTTTTTCCTTAAATTAGGCTAGGTAGTTCTTCATTTTTACTACTTGTTTGCATGCTTAATTGGTCTATTTCATTATTAATTTCATCAATTTCAATACTGAAATCATTTTTTCCCAATTCACATGCTCAATAATCCTAATCCTAATCCTAATTAATTTAATTTATTCATTTATTCAATTAGACTTGAATTAATTATGCAAACCTAACAATTCATGTAAAATTAATTATATAACATCATCAATTCACTTCACCAACATTAAATTCAATCCAAAAGTCACTTGTTCATGTATCAAGCTTCCATTCTCTATCAACATCAACACATTTAAACACATATACATACATCATCTTTCCATTAAAAATCATTCAAGTCAGTACCAAAATTAAATTTTTGTAATGTAGTTAGACTAACTTACTTTTAACACTCCAATTAATTTCTTTCGAGTTCAATTTTTTGCAAGCTTTCCTCACTATTTTTTATCTTCCAATTATGATTCCAAGCTTGATTGAGTGATTTAGGATGTGTTTAATATTTGGTTTAGTAGTTCTTGTGATTTTAGCAATTTTTTCGGTAAGAGTTTGACCTAATTTTTTTTTATTTTTTTCTTCATTTTTTCCTTCACCTACAAGCTGAATTTATAGGCTAAAAGAGTGGACTTTGTCTTGGTTTGACTCTAATCCTAACCCTTCATTTGTTTCCATCCCCACCATTAAATTTTCTTTTAATCTCCTCCCTCCATTACTTTGATCCTAATCATCCATTTGTTAAATTGCAGAATTACACTCGTTAAAGGAGGGATGAATTGGTCGGTTGGAGAAGAAAAATATAGGCCAAAAATATTTATTTTGATATCTCAATTTGTCACACCATTTTATTTAGTTCCTGCATTTTAGTCCTTTAAATTTTTAAATAAATATTTTTTTCCTTTCCCGAGGCTTTGCAAATATTTTAATGCCCTTTGAACTTTACTTCTAAAGTTATTTGAGTGCCAAAACTTTTAATTTTATGCAATTAAGTTTCTAATTCTTATGCAATTAAGTCCTTATATGTGCATAATTAATTCCATGCGCTTCAAAAAAAATAATTTCTTTTCATAGTAAATTCATGCACTTTCCATAGTAATTTATTCTTAATCACATAATTTTTATGCATTTATTTAGGCATTCAAAATAATTATTTTGCATAAAAGGCACTATTTATTCGAGAGAAGCCGATAAAATATTCACTAAATACAGAAAAATTATTTTAAATGCACGAAATATTCTAGCACTCCTCTAACAATTATTTTATGCTCATAGAATAATTTTTATACATATTTAAAATATATTATTTTATTTATTAACAGGTTCGGTGTATTACATCGTTGTATAATTTATGGTCTTTTCTTTTTTCAATTTGTTGGAAACAAAAGTAGAAAACTTAATTATTTGAATTATTTTATAAAAAAAAGAGCAAAACCAATAACCATTATCACAATTTTGGAAAAAAAAATTTTTATTTGGTTTTGAAAAATTTTGACAACCGCTTGTTCAATTTTTCAAGGTTTCAAAAACAAATAACAGAAAAAAGAAATGATACCAAATCACGCCTAAATTTATAAGTTTGTTTGTTTATTTTTATTCATTTATTTATTTTTTTTCTGTTTTTTGGTCATCGATTACTAAAATTTGAAGTTGGAATTAGAAAATTGCTTACATTCTGTGCATACAAAGGATTTATTTTTTATTTTTCAATAACTCAGCAAAAAGATTATTATGTTAAAAAACTAGATGATGGTATCAATTCATAATGGGTATGGTATATATGTTCAGTACATTTTTTTTATCATGTATTTATTTATAAAATGCGATATTAAAATAGTTAAACCCATTATTTGCATTGTGTGTGTTTCAAAAATCCATAAAATAAGTCTTTACTTTTTAAATTCAGTCAATTGAATACATGTATTTTCAATTTCAATTAATTGAACATGTTTATGCAAAATCAATAATTTTTATGTGTTAATTCGAATAAAAAATAACATAACTCTATCATGCGAGATTCAAATATGGTACTGATATACGTGTACATTATATTTTATTTGATTTAACATAAAAAATTATTAAAATCATATTGAAATAACTGAAATTGAAAATACACGTATTTAACCGACCAAATTGAAAACTCAGATTTATTTAATGGATTTATGAAAAGAAAGGATGCAAATAGAGGGTTTGCAGTATTAAAAAGGTAAAATTTTGAGAGAAATAAGGGTTTCAATCTTAAAAGAACAAGTATTAAAAAAAAATTTGTAATAATTTAAAAGTTGTGGGTCCACATTTTGAACGAAAATTTTAATAAAAAGATAATAAATATACGTGTATTAGTTAATGGACACAAACAAGAAACAGCTAACCAATTATGAAAAGGAAGGAAAAAAATGTCTAATCCACAAAGAAATTGCAAGGTGAGAAACTAACAGATTGATCAATTATCTCTTTATCTGTCCAAGGGGCCATAATTTAGTTGCAGCTCCCATTCAAGAAAGAAGATAACAACCTTTCATAGCAGAAAGAATAAGGACACCAAAAGCTTATCTATCATTTTTAGCTGTAATATTGTGAGGCTCTAGTTTAAACAAGATAACATGGCCAGGAGTGAAGTTTTCTGTAGGAGATACCATAAAGTATGAAGAAGAAGTCAGAGCATGAAGATGCTAACGATCAGCATGATCTTGAAATCCTCAAGGCTGTGGCACAAGCATGGCATGGTCACTCGGGCAGCTCAAGGTCTACCAATGAATATGATGCATATCGCCAAAATTTTCAAAGCAAGCCTTCTCGGTTCAAGCTAGAAGCAATGAACAAGTTATCAGCCAAGAGGGTTGAGAGTGCGAATTGGGATTTCAAGCGATCACTGTGGGATTCCTATGAGATTGTGAATGTGTCCAAAAGGTTGGAGAGAGGGCTTGTTTTGGATGGTCCATTTAGTGGGGTAGATGCTCAAAAAAGGGTCTATAGGAGGAAAAGAGAGGGTAAGAACAGTCTTAGAAATTTGTTTAATATGACGTCTAGGAGATTCAATGAGGATGAAGTTCCTCGTGAAGATAAGAATCAATTTTGATGCAACATTTTTATTAGTCCTGTCTTGTTCTTGACTTCTACCTTATGTTAGTTCCATCTTCAGGTTTTGCAGTGAAGAAGGTTAGTAACTGCAATCTTCATTGACAAAACCTGGCATGAAAATTTGAGATTTGTTTTGCAGGTTCTTTTCACACTTTGGTCTTATAGAAAAATCAAACCAATTTTTTATCTTGTGCTTTTAGTGAGAAGTATTTTCATTGAAATGTCATGCTACAAGTATTTTCATTGTCATGAACAAACAACTTACTGAAATCGGCAGACAAAGTATTTTTATTGATGTAAAACACTTGTATTTTCATTAATCAAGTTCTGTACTCTGTGTCAGAGCTACTCACGACAGCAATTTTTATTGTAGATGAGCATTACTAGTTAATACCAGAAGATTTGCTATTAAAAAGATAAAAAATTCTTGAGAAAGATATTAGTACCAGTAAATGATGAGGTTGCAAGATAGCAGTCAATTTTGATTCTTAATCTGTCAACATCACATGAGGAATATTGTAACCAAATTCAGGATTCTGTCAAATTTAACGGTTTATTTGTACCAGATATTGGAAAGGATATGGTATTCTTTACTCAATTATTGTAGTCTGGTGCTGGTCATGGTAGATTCCCTGCAAAGAATTTCAACTTTTTACCTGACAATGTCACCAGAATCTGATTGCAGCTGTCCAGCAACCTGAATAATTGTGCTGAAATTGGGTAAGCTAACAGGATCTCATCATGGGTCATCTGTTGATTAATATTCCCACTAAATTGGCTGAAAGGACCAAATCCCGACTTTATTCCAGGCCGGTGTCGACTGTTTGTTGTTGTCATTGATTGATGAACATGTTCCCACAAGAATTTCTTTGTAGTTCAGATATCTGTTGGAACATACCAGGACTAATACCTCAATCAACTCCGATGAGACCATAATCAAATAATATCTGTCATATTCATGTTAGTGTTGGTGCCCAAAATCCAATCATATTTGGATGGGCTTATGTTAATATGTTATTACATCATTTATTTTAATAATAATAAAAAAGTCATTCTATTAATTCTTATGTTTACAAGTTAGATAAATTCTGTAGAATTAGATAGAAGTCTTTATGATATACATTTGCAATAGTTATTGATCGAAAAATGTGAGACAAACACCAATGCACATAAATGATATCATTAAATGTCCTAAGTCATAGCATCGTCAAGAATGATCATTGACAATATGCGGATAGACTTGTGAGTGCTATCTCATGCTATATGATAGCGAGTAGGAGATCTCACACTTATTGGCATGGTGATGCCAAAGCAAACACTTAGATGATTTATGTTAGAGAACATGTCACCTGGATTTGACTCGTATCGAAAACCCATTTGGTTTAAGTATATGGGAATCTCATACGAGATGAGTACAAATAGTCCTTAGACTTGAAGTCATCGTGGTTATCTCATTGGAGGACTTATGCACCTTGATAGTCGTTTTGATGGACCCATTAATGGGTTGCACGTAGACGATTCGTTGGGTGCACTAGGAATCCAACGGAGATAGGTTTATGGCTAAGATAGGACATGTCATTCTTTATATGCTTAAAGAAGTTATCACATTACACTTCGATAAATGTCCGCTTAAGAAATTTGTGGCCACGGTAGGAGTACATCAATAGAGCATAGTTGGTTTACTTTAAGAGCTAAGACATTTGGGAATCGAAGAAAACTTGTGTGATCATAATCAAACAAGACTAATAACCAAGTTTGAGATCACACTCGTGATAAGTTGACATGAGGATCGAATTATATGATAACCATGCTCGTGAAAGGTAAAATGGATTAACTAATCCTCCTAGAGAATTGGGTAGTCATGATGCCTTGCTAAAGGCTAATCTTGATTTATGTATCAAGAGATGAAAAATGAGTCTTTTATTCTCGATACATTGCCAACATATCTAGGAGCATATTGAGTCACACATATAAGTTTAAGTATTCACATTACAAATGACAAGCAAAGATATTGGAAAAAGTTTCTTATTTTGGAAAGAGTTTTCAAAATGAAAAGTTTCTTAAAATAGAAAATTTTTCTAAAATGGAAAATGAAAAGTTTCTTAAAATGAAAGTTTCCTATTTTAGAAATCGATTTCTTTATTTGGAAGTTATTTTCAAATTTGAAAATAAAGAACCTTAAAGGAAAGGAGTTTCCTAATTTAGGTTAAATAGTATTTTGAAAAATTGTTTCTCGAGTGGACCTCGCCAAAATAATCTAAGAATATTTATTTGAATAGTCTAAATAAATTAATTGGTCTAAAATAGTTTTGGCCCATTAGGTTTAATTAAAAGCCTTAAGATAATTTTGATGGAAGGATAAACATCAATCTTATTGGATAAAGATGAATGTTTTAAAGATAAACATCAAGTAGTCCACATATAAAATAACTCCTTATCCTTGGAGGATAAGGAGGCAACAACTTAGAGTCCTTTATGGACTCAAGGCTATCATTTTTCTTGTCCTTGGAGGACAAGGATTCTCCTCCCCTATAAATAGGAAGAGAAGGGCGGCAAAGAAAGAGAGATAACAAAAATAGAAAATTTCGGCTAAAGACAAAAACTTAATAGAAAATTTGGCCAACCTCCAAACTAAAGGGGGTACACGGTCAAGAGGAAAAAATAGTGAGAACATAGTTTTCTCCAAAAGCCCTAACAAAAAAATACTCTTACCTTCTCTTTTAAAGTTGTCGCAAAATTGTTTGGGATTGATTTCTAGTGGAAAAACTTAATTAGAAAAGATGGAGCTAGCACCCCATCAATTTTGAGTGCTTTTTTTTGTGAATATTTGGACTACGTGGATCATTAATAGAGACTGGACATTTGGATAACTAATCAATTTTGAGTGCTTTTTTTTTTTTTTGCACATATTTTAAAACTATCTGCATAAGCCTAGATACTTCAAAAGAAAGAAGGGAAGCTGAATGTAAGTCTACTGGAGAGTCCAACAAGAGAACATACAAAGCATTAACAAAAGGCTAAAGATGCTGTATATCTGATATATAGTCGATTCTGGCAACATGTATCATGTATGAAACCCTCGATTCACAAATAAGGCAAAGCATCATTTGTAATTTGCTCTATAGTTTAGTGTCTGTAACACTCATCAAATTGGCAATTTGTTTGTTACATGCTTTATTGCTGCACTAAACTTTCAGTGTATGAAACCCTCGATTCACAAATAAGCAGCAAGGAAGATTTTTGGAGATAGAATTCTATCATTAAAAAGCTGTAGTCTATTATACTATATCATCTTACTGCAATATGAAATACTAAAATTATCTTGACATGCTATATCCAAACAACCCTGAAATAACACAAGAAACACAGGCCTTTTATTTAAATAGCTTGTTTGATATAACTCTGTAGCTGGGAGGTATGCTCCCTAGCCTATGGCAATTTGAAGGTCTTCCATTTGCACAGTTCAAAGCCCTTGCGCTTCTGCTGGATGAAGCCTTCAGCTTCATCATCAACACTATCTTCCACAACTTCTGATTTCTGATTCCCATTTTGTTCGATAAATTGCACTTGGTCCATCACCTGAACCTTCTTGGGAACCTTCTTGGGAGCCTTCTTGGGAGCCTTCTTGGGAGACTTGGCAGGATTCTTCCTGTTGACATAATCTTGGGGAACCTCGGTAGTCTCCTCTTCTTGAATTACCGTGTTGTTGAAGGCCTTGTGCACACTAGGGTACTGGGGGGCATCAGGGAGAAGACTTGGCATCCTAGATAACATTGCAATATGGGCATGGTAATCTTGGGACGTGGAGCCCCAGCCATGCTGTTGCCTTGTTTGGTAGACAGTGCCTTGAGACATTTTTGCTGATTTGCGCTGTTTACAAAATCTAGTTATGACAAGCTGCATATTTATAGACCCAGATTTTCGACTTTATTCTCTAAAGATGGTAAAGTTGCATCTAATTCCTTATCTCTTGTCAAATATCAAGTTCTATCATCCACATTTTACGAGGGATTGGGAATAAATGCCTAGAAAGTGGAGAGATATGGATTCTAGGAGTTCATACATCACCAGAATAGTATAAATTCCAAAGTCTTTCTCTCTTCCTGAAAGAAGATTGTCCCCCAGCTTTTGAATCCAGGATAGACTAGCATAGTAATCTATATAATATGTCTTATTATTTTAAATAATTAAAAAATCTAGGTTTAAAATAAAACTTAATTAACACTAATTGTGAGAATTAATTAATTAATTATATATATATATATATATATATATATATATATATATATCATAGGAATATTTTTTATTTTGATCAATGAAAAAAGAAAAAGAAAACATGCAATTAATTTTTTTTAAAAAATCAAATTAGAAGAATGTGTTAAATCAATTTATATTAGAAGAGTGTTTAAATTTAGTCAATGTGTCTATAAAAAAATAAAAAAGTAGCCATTAATTTTTTTAATATTATAAATAATTAAAAATTAAGCATAAAATAAAAATTAATTAAGACTAATTGTGAGAATTAATTTAATTTAATATATATTGTTAGGACCCAAATTTTAACCCATTTGTTTGCAAGGATTCTTAGAAAAAATAAAAAAGAAAAAGAAAAAGAGAAATTGAAAAATTAGTTTTCGGGGGCTAATTGAAAAATTAGGAGAATTGGAGACCAAAACGAGTCTAATTGAAGGGTGTAATTGAAAAAATAGAAGGCCAAGGATTTTAATTGAGAGTGAGCTTGGGTGATCTGAGAGAAATAAAAATAAAATGGATCGAAGAAGTTCAATTAAGGAATGCAATTAAAAGAAAATAAGGAGAAGAAAAATAATCCTGCAAGATGAGTGACCAAATTGAACTATGGTCGTCCAGCCCTATAAACCCACTATAAAGCTTTTTTTTTCCCCTCCTAACAGATGGAAGGCTTTCTCTCCCTTAAAAAAATTATGGCTAGCCATATAGTACCTTTTGACCACTGCCGTCCACCAACAAGGCCTTCCTTGCCCCTATCAACCTTCTCTTCGTCGATAGCCGTTTCAATCATTGCCTTAGCATCGTCGTTCTAGCCAGCACAACTTGATCTAGCCAGTACCAACCACATACTTGTTGTCGATCACCTATAAACCCCATTTCGGTCAACCACGCCTCACTCCTTACCGAACATCGACAGAAGCTCCAACAAACAAGGGTAGCCACCACAGCAGCCACCAAGTTCGGTTACCACTCTAACCACCAAGGGCAGCCACCACAGTAGCCACTGAGTTCGATCATCACTCTAGTTACCAAGAACAATCAACACCAGCCACTACTAGTGCATTCCTCTCTTTGTTGTAACCTGCTGTCATTTCTCAATGAATGCCAGGCACTAGTAGTGCCTTCATCTCCTAGTCAAAACTTAACAGTAACCCACTGTCAATTCTCAATGTCGCTAGCACACTCTAGCATTGACCACAACCATGATAGTAGCGCCAACTACCAGCTACCAGCCTCCAGCACACCACATAGTGGTACCACCATAGGTCGGGTTAACGATTTATCGATGGGCAATCACTTCTCCTTTCTAGCCGACTTCAGTCTTCATTAAGTTGAAGAAGTCAGAACTGACCCTAATTTTGGTCATTACAGGTTTCGATAGCACCTTGATAACTTTTCATAAGTTTTTTTGATCACCAAGTAAGTTATCGAAATCCTCAACTTTTAATTCATGCTAATTGTAGGATAAATTTAAATTAATTATGTTGATTTAAATTGAGTTTATAGATAATAATTAAAGTGTTTAAGATACATTGTTGTGTATCAAATCTGAAAAAGGTCAAAGACCTTAGGTACTCTTAAGGTAAAATAAGGCTAATTCAATGCTATACGATGAAGTTGAGAGAATGAGTTTATGATTTAATTTAATAGATTATTCGAAGTAAGTGTTGGCCTCGGTATGCATGATTTTTTATTGTTTGTTTTCTATTTGTGATTGGATTGAATTTGTTAGATTATGTTACTTGTGTTATTGATTAATGACTTGTTGGATACTTAACGATCATTAATAGGATATGCCATTTTCTTGATTGCCTTTTTTTGTAAAAATCATGATGATTAAAGCTACGTTGATTTGAGCCTTAATTCAGGTCATTCTTGCTAATTTTGCCTAATATGCCTATTTGCTTGCCGAATTTGTTTGTCAAATGTTTGGAAATTGCTATATCTTAAGTCACATCGATCGGAGTCATGATTCGAGTCGTTGATCAATGCATAATTTACATAATTTTTATGTCCTTTTACATTAAACTTATTAATACTTATTATATTGTATTAATGTAATTGAGAACAAGATAACAATTTTGGATTTTGTAGGACAAATGAAAAATTGATGTGAATAAACCCAAGCCAAGGTGCATAAAAGCCTAAAGCTATGAAAGACCTAAAGGAAAAAGCTACCGATTGTATGAAACAAAAAAAGAAGCTGTGTGGATGTTCAACATAAGAAGACACACAAGCAGTAGCAATCAACATGGTTTGGGTAGAAAAAGTAGGATACCCGTGTGTATTATCACTAAGCTATTCTTCAAGGGAGAAAGAAATGACACATGGGTAGTAGGCTGCTAGACATGGGATGAAGAGCAAATGTAGCATAACCATGTGCCTTAGTCAAGCAAGCCGTGTGACACCGATTGTTCAAGGCTCCAACCTATGTGAATCTAAAGAACAAATTGTGTGCCTTAGTCAAGTAAGCCATGTATCCATGTGGGGTTACCATGTATGTGTGTAACCTTACTTGTAGCTATAAATAAAGAAGTTAGGGCTTTACTTTATTCATTCTTTCATTCTAGTAGCCATAGATAGAAAAGCTTTTATAAGCAAAACCATGCAACACTATATACTCATTCTTAGTGAAAGAAAAGTTGAAGCTTTGGTTAAATTGTTATGAGATCTAAATGGATTCTATTTCTAATCTTATTCTTTTTTAGTATTTTATATTCTTTCATTATCATTGCATGTGATTGTATTGATTGATTATTTAGGATGCATACTAGTTGGTTAATCTATATCATCTATTGCTAGTTTAGAATTAAAGTCCGTAATTGCTTGTTTAATTTTACATATGGTAGAAACTAAGGGTTAATTATTATAAATGTGTTTTCATTTAATTTATGAAAAAATATAGAACTAAATTAAATTCTTCTAGCTTGCAGAAGGGTTTTTTAGCTTTACCTATCTTTCTATTACTTAATTCTATTATTGAATAAAATCTAGATAGCTTCTGCTAGGTTGTTCAATAGTTAGAGATTAATTAAATAACTTCTATTGATTAATGAATCACTAAGAAAAGATTTAGGATAACATGCTTGTTGTTGTTTCACGGTGAATATTCATAAAAAGAATGGATTAATATTTGAATCAATGATCAAATATTGAATCAAAAGTGAAAACTATCCTTTGACTAAGGCATTTAATATCTTTGTTTATCTCTTGTCTAAGTTTGATTATTTTTAGTACTCCCAACAAACAAAAACCTCTCTCTCTCTTTACTTTAACTTAAATTAATTGGACAAAAAGATAAGTTGATTGAGCTAATTCTTTGTGGGATGGACCTTGCTTACCATAGCTACAATCTTGTAATTGGGGTCTAGTGAGGAAAATAAATAAGTACTTTTATGGTGGTACGATATGCTACCAAATTTTGGCACCGTTGCTAGGGAGTTGCTTTCAAATTGATTATTTCTAGACATTCCGATTGTTTCTTATCCTTTATATCGGGTTGGTATATGACTATATCTCGCTCATACAAGTAACTTGATCTTTAACCTCGAACTAGAAAAAACATTTCACAAGTTGAGGAGAGAAGCTAGACAAGCTTGGATAAAGCGAGCTAAAACATCTAAGATAGTATCCGTTGTGTCGTCAAGCATAAATATAGCTCTTGAGTTTCTGTCTTTTAGTGATTTTGAAGAAGAATGGCTACAAACAAAACTTTAAAGGAGTTGTCCGCATCGGTAGCCCTTGTGTATTGAGTTCTTGAATCTGGATTGATACACTTATTGCCTAAATTCTATAGTCTTATTAGAGAAGACCTCCATAAACACTTGAAGGAATTTCGTGTGGTATGTTCAACTATGAGATAGCAAGGACTATCGAAGAACAAATTAAACTGCATGTATTCCCATTCTCACTAGATGTGGATGCAAAAGATTGATTGTATGATTTTCCTATGAGATCAATTGACTCTTGGAATAGGATGAAACAAGCTTTTTATTAAAGTATTTTCCTTGCATAAAAAACTACCAATATAAGGAAGGAGATTTGTAGTATTAGATAGTTTAATAGAGAAACACTAAATGAGTATTGGGAGGAGTGATTCAAGAAATTATATGCTAACTACCCATACTATAAAATCTTTGATAACATTTTAGGAAACTATTTCCTAAATTATAGGAAATCCATTTTAGAAAACTATTTTCATTTTAGGAAACCATTTCCAAAATTCTTTTAATGCTTGAAGAATTAAAATCAATTATTTTAATTCCTATTTTCTTTCATAATTCTTCACTTCTCTTTAGAGTCAATGTCAAGCTTATGCATGTGACTCAATAAGCTTTTATATATTTTGGCAATGTATCAAGAAGTAAAAGACTATTATTTTATCTTTCAATACACAAATCAAGATTGACATCTAATAAGGCATCATGACTATCCAATTATCAAGAAGGATTACTTAATTGGCAATAGCCTTTCACGAGTATGGTTTTCATATAAATTATTCCTTATGTCAATTTATCATAATGTGATCTTGAACTTGGTTTGCTTGTCTATTCGATAGTGATCACACAAGTTTTCTTTGATCTTCAAATATCTTAACTCTTAAGTAAACTAATCATGCTTTATTGGTATACATTTATTGTGGCCACCGATTCTTGATCGGATATTCATCAAAGTACAATGTGATAACTCTTTTAGCATATAAGGAATAACATGTCCTATCTCAATTATCTATCTATCTCTCTTAGATTCCCGATGTACTCGATAAATCATCCACATATAGCTCTTTACTAAGCCCATCGTAATGAACATCAAAGTACACCAATCTTCTAATGAGATAAACATGATAACTTCAAGTCAAATGACTACTTGTATCTATCTTGTATGAGATTCCGATAGACTATGGGTTCTCATGGTGAGTCATGTCTAGATATATATACTTTAGCATTATTCACATGTGTACTTGCTTAGGAATCACTATGCCAATAGATGTGAGATCTTCTATCGCTATCCTATAGTAAGAGCATAACATATACAAGTCTTACCGCATATTGTTAATATCCAATTTTGACAATACTATGAATTGAGATATTTAATGACTTTATTTAAGTGTATTGATGCTTATCTCACATTTATTGATCAATTATTAAAGCAAGGAATATCATATAGATTTTTATCTAATTCAATCAAGTTATAAATAACATGAATTAATAAAAAAAACTTATTTATTAATAAATATGCAATAATACAATATTCAAATCATCCAAATAGGTTAGATCTTGGACACATACACTAACAAATAATAAATTAAAAAAAAAGTAAAAGCATAAATAAAGGAAAGAAAGAGGTTAGGCTAGGCTCACACTAGGCCCTTCCATATGGGCTGGAAATACAGCCCAATCATAACAAATAAAATGACTTTTTTGCAACAATAATTAAATTTAGAAATTGTTTTGTATAAAATAAAAATTGAAAGACTAAAATGTAAAAAAGATGACAAATGATCAACACATCACTTATTATATTTTTTTGGTAAGAAAATGGCATCGTTTCAAGTAAAAAAAAAAAAAAAGAAAACTCAAAATGACATCATTTTGGTTCACTATAATGGAGTTTAATGACAATAAAACCATATCCACTTTTAGATTATTTATAATATTTAGAGAGAAGATGTCATGTACTATAGTTTCAACCCAAAACATTAAATTAACTTTGTGCATGTTGAAAATTACCTAAAAAGGATTCATTCATTAAAAAGAAAAATTTACATAGAAAGGTATTGTTTTGGAATGT